TCATTTGGAATCAAAAGAGACCTCAAAGAGCAATAGCAATTCTGGGCAATAAAGGCAAGTCAAAAGACATCACAGTCTTTGATCTTAAAGTATATTACAGAGCTAGTGTGATTTAAAAAAGCAGCATGGCACTTGGAAAATGAAAAAGATAGACATGAAGATTAATGGGATGGATTAGAAGATTCAGAAACAACTCCAAAATGTGCTCTGCCACCTGATCTTTGATAAAAGGGCAAATATGTTCACTGGAAGAAGGATAGCCTCTTTAAAAATAGTGCTGGAAAAAGACCTTCCACATGCCAAAGACTAAAACTAAACTTATATCTCTCACCATGCACTAAACTAAAGTCACAATGAACCAAGGACCTCAATAATACAATAGGAACACCAAATCTTCTGGATGAGAGAATTAGTACAACTGTGGAAGACATAAGTGTAGGTAAAGGCTTTGTGAACAAAACCTTGGTGGTATAGGAATTATCACAAAGAATCAACACCTGGTATCTCATCTTATTAAAGAGCATTTACACAGCAAAATAAATCACCAACAAAGTGAAAGAAGAACTCATAGAGTGGGAAAAATTATATCAGCTGTTTTTCAGAAAAAGAACTAATACCCAGAACACATAAAGGAAAAAAAAATAGACACTTCAAATTCAAAGATGTAATCTAAAACTGGGCTTCTGAGATGAGTATACACTTCACAGAAATACAAATGTCAAATAAATATATGAAAAATGTTCTGCATTACTGATCATTTGAGACATGCAACTTAAAAAATTGCTGAGATTCCACCGCACCCCAGAAAGAATGGCTATCATTAAGAAATCAACCAATAACAAATGCTGGAGAGGCTGTGGGGAAAAAGGAACCCTTCTCCACTGTAGTTGGGACTTGGGGCTGGAGCAACCACTGTGGAATTCTTTGATATTTCTTGCATCCAGAGGTGAGATATGTGTTCCTTTTTTTTGAAACTGGACAAGCTCTTTGAGTGCCTTGACAAGCAATATCTAACACCAATGACTCTGTGGCAACTTCTAAACCTAGACCCTAAGAAACTGTCAATTTTCCATTTGCTGTCTCTCTGGAACACTCATTCTTGTGGTCCTGAGTCACCAAATAGTGCTAACTAATCTAAGGCTGGTTCACATGACAGCAGGCCATCCAAGTAGCCAATAGGTAGATTGTGTGTGTGGAGAGAGAGGAGAGAAAGAGAGAGTGAGAGAGAGAGAGTGAGAAAGTGAGAGAGCGAGAGAGTAAGAGCGAGGAGAGACAGAGAGAGAGAGAGAGAGAGAGAGAGAGAGAGAGAGAGAGAGAGAGAGAGATTGAAATCTGCTTCCCATTTATTGTAGTCCCTGGCCATTTGACTCATCCCTACAAATGTCCCAAATATCATGGGGCAGAGATAAGCCATCTTATTCATGTCCTGCCTGAATTCCTCACCCACAACATCATAGGATACAATGAGAATTGATTATTTTAATGCATCAATTGATGTAGATTGACATACAGCAACAGATCTTTAAAACAGTGAGAGCAAATTAGACTTGGTCCTTGTCCTCATGGAATTTAAGATTAATCAATTCAAGAAATTCATAATTAACAATGTATACCTCAATATGAGCTAAGAAACTGAAATGGAGCAAATTTGTAGAAAATTAGAAAGAGAAAAAGTCTGTCATCTTGATTACTCTCTTCATTTTTTTTTTAACTTATTAGAGCACTGTTGTGGGCTTGGGGTATGCTAAGTTTAGTTAGTTCTAGAACTTTCCAATAAGTGATAGGCATTCCATCAGTGGTGAGCCAAAGAGGCAACACTACTGTGAATTTTTAAATCTTCACACCATATTAACACATATTCTAAGTGATAGACGTAATAATCAGATAAATGCTTGTCCATGTATAGATTCTTCTTGTATTGTGCGATCTGAATTATCTGATATAATTATTAGTGGGATACAAGACACCATATACTAATAGCCCTTGCTCCAAAGGAATTTATTAGCTTAAAGCATAAGGCAGAATAGACACCAATTTATTCATGAAGTCTACACAGGAATTCTGTGAACTGAGGATAGAACTACTCTTCCCTTAATGTCATTTCTATTTCATATTCAGTCATCCTGTTTCTGCTTTTAAACCGAAATCATCAAGAGTTCAATACTGAGCAAAAATGATGCATTAGATGTTTAAAAGATCTCAGTAAAAGAGACCAGAAAACATCTTCTACCTGCCTTGCACATGAGAGATCTTTCCAAGCAAAGATGTAGAAAAAATGTAGGCCACTTTGGCACTTTGGGATGCTGAGGCAGGAGGATATGAGTTTGAACCAGCTTAGGTAACTTAGTAAGACAGTTTCTAAAAAGAAAAAGAGCTGAGAATATAGCTCAGTGCAAATGCTGCAACTTTAATCTTCAATTCCCAGCTCACGTGTGAGTGCACACACGTGCACATGTTCAGAACAGACATCATGAGCTGAAACACCAACAATGCCAGACATGACATTGTACATGGGAGAAGTGAGCGAGGTAGAAGGTAAAGTGAGTGGTAAGCTAGAAAGGTATGACATGTCCCAACCTGCATGGCAGCTGGCCTTCAGCTCCAGATTACCTGTGCCATGTCCATGGGCCAGAGATTCCAAGATTTGTGAATTTTCTATAGAAGGTAAATATTTCAATTTTCAGTTTAGATCTTCTAATTTCAAAAATGTCAGGTCAAGGAAAATACACTCATTGATGCTTTGAAGCAGCTTCTGATGTAAATTCCTGACATAGATTGATGTAGGGATCAGCTTCTCAATGGTTACAAAATAGAGAAATAAGTCTAGCCAGACCTTGCTGTCAGTGGTTGCACTAAGCCTGGTAGAATTTCGTTTTCTAAATGCATTTCTCCATTAGTGATGGTGAGTGAAACGTCTGGCTTTGCAAATTACTGCTGTCATTTACTTTAATGTACTCTTGTTTTTACATATTTATAAAAACCTTTTACATTATTAATAGTGATTAAATGCTTAGACACTGAAGATCAATAATGCTTCTGTTCACCTATTTACATTATTAAAAAGTAATAAGTCATACAGTGTACGTAGAATATGTGGTTTACTTTGTAGTCATGTTTAGAGTAGACTGAAGGAAGAAATTGGGCCACAGGGCAAATTGCATTTAGGAAAAGATGATCACTGAGTTGAATTTGCTAAAGACTTTATAAGCAAGCTGCAAGTTGGCACTGATGTCACACAGTCTTGGGGCACAGAAGGCACATGTTTTGTGTACTCTCACATCCTGGTGAAGCTTACTTAGAATCAGAAAATCTAGTCTCCTTTGGATGCAGAATGATGGAGTGTCATTTAACCTTTGTGTGTCCTTGTAACACCTAGTCATTTGTATGCTACTGTCTTTAGCTCCAAAAACTTCTGATTATGGAATTGCTCAGCACCGAGTCAGCTTTGTTGGTCACCTTTTGTCAATGCAGCTATCTCTCAATTGTATGTCATAAAAGCAAAGTGATTCATCTGATTATGGCAATAAGTGTCATATATCTGTTTGAAGAGACCATCCCCAGAATCAGAGGGGATTCTTAAATATTGTCAGGGTCATCCTCCCCAGCTCTCTATGTAGCCAAAGCGCCTCAGTGCTGAGGTTTACAGATAGGGCTTTCAACACTAGTCTTTCTCAGTTCCAACTTGTATTGACTGTAATCTTGGGCAAGTAGCTTGACATCTCACTTCTTGTTTCCTCACAACTGGAAAGGGGGGCTTGTAATATAATAGTACTGTGTGGAATTTTTATAAGGATCAAATGCAAGAGCATATATAAAGGCTTAGTTTAAGGTCTGACACATAACAAATGCACAACTTACATGTAATAAAACGCCCATTTCATATCATTCAATTGTATTCTTTTACAAAAAAGTTGATCATTCACACTGAAGTCTGTAAATTATTTCATTGAAATGTACTAAATTTAAGTAGATTTTAAAGAAGTCACTTGATTTGTCTGTGTCTTGTGTTGGCAAAAGCACATTTTTATAGGATAAATTTGATGCATGTCACTAGACGTATTTAAGGGCAAGTGGAAATGGGACAACTGTGATACAACAAAAAGATTGTAGGTGTTGGTACAATGCAAATTTGTTGTCTGTGTAATTTTGGGCAAGTAAGTTAATCTCTCTGAAACACAGTTTTTTTCACACATAAACTATACCTAATACAATTATCTATTTTATAGAGATACTGTGGAATACAATATATGCTTAAAGTGATTTGTAAACTAAAATTACAATATAGATATAAAGTATTATAACCATTATTATTTATGTAGGCAATAAGAATTGGACTTCTTCTTTGCAAAGGTACCTCACATGAAAATGCCATGTTTTCTTAAAGGACATATAGTTAAATTGTTTGTCTTCAATTACTTTTCTTGGAAAAGGCCTGAATCTTTACAGACAGGTAGGATATATCTGTCATAGTTGAGACCACTGGATGGAGGCCTATCATTCTGAATTTATATTTTACACAAGAATAAGGAGACTCAATCAAACCAGGGGGAGAAAACGGGCATTAACCATCATGAGTAAGAGGTTTGTTCACTCTGTGAACTTCTGGCAAGCATTGTTGCTGAAGCATGAATCCAAACCATGGGGGTTTAAGACTGTCCATTGCACAAGTACTCTGCTCTGGGTCACAATGACTTATCTTCTGTCTTACACTGGCCCTCACTTTCTTCCCTTCCTTGAATTGAATGTGCTATTTAATACTTCTTTTTGTCCTAGAATTTGTTGTTTTTTCTAATTTTTTTCCTGTCTCACTTCTCATATGATTTCTTCCCCTTAAATTAGTAAGGAATTAGGCATTAGAGAGAAGTCCTAAGAAAGATATCAGTATGGATTTTACGGAATGAAAAGTACCTTCATCTTTAGAAGACACCTTCCTTTCAAAGTTAAGGGAAAACACAAGCTCTATACATTATGTAATGAAATACATAGATAAATAATTATACCTGCTGTCGAATGAGAGCTCTGGAGGAATGACATGAGTACTGTCCTTGCCAGTGAGGAATTTGATTCGGTCATAGAAGAGTCTTGAAGTGTGCTGAGAGAAGAGGGGTTGGCTTTGCTGAATGAGGTCAAGAGGATCTGGTGAGCCCTGACAGAGAGGACTTGCATAACAGTTGCTTTGTTGACAACAATCAGGGTCCACACAGTCGGTCAAACCATCTGGAAAAAGAATCCCAAATCCATTTTGATATTTAGCTTCAAGAGAAATTATATGGCTTAAGATTTACAAAATGGAGAAAAAAAATAGAACATGAAGATAACCAATAACATTTGAGTTTATAATCTCTCAAATTTTCATGTTTTTCATGAGTTATAGCTCACAGAATTTATATGGCACCTGAGAGAAATGAAAACTATTTTGTTCATAAATCTCTGCTTTTGAAATTCTCCAGCATTTATCAACTGGAGAATAAAGTTTCTAATGTTATACTTTTGCTTTTAGGTGGAGCAATCTTTTAGGTACCCCCCTTTACAAGGTTCTATCTTTTTCAATGAGACCATTCTTTCGAAATGGAAATTATTTCTTATAGCTCTTTTGAATTCCTCTCACATTGCACATCTATACAGTTAGCAAGTATTTACCAACTCAAATATGTTTGTATTCTTAAAAAAGTACTTCCCAATTTTGTTGTCTACTAGTAACTCCCAAAATATAAATTGAGATTTTCGTGGTGGCAAAATATCTAGGCCAGTGGTTTTCAAATGTTAAGTTATTTACCTGGGGACCTTATTAAATATGCATTTGCTTGAGCTCCACCTACTGAATAAGAATTTCTATGGGGCCTGGGAGTATGTAGGCTTAACCAGGTTGATTTAGTCATACATCGAGGTTACAGAACAACTTACAGAAGAAGCTACATTTACTTATGCTTAGCAGCTGTTTTTTATACAATCACTGAGAAATGTGAACTAAGTGAATGTGATAAGTTATTCTTTCATTTTCTGAGCCTTCACCATTTCTTTCAAACTTCTTAGTCCACTGCTGTACCAAGAATGGGAAAATCATATAATGGCTTCACTATTTGTTGGTGTACTATCTGCAAGGCTTTAGCCTCAAACCTGAATTATGTAGGGCACAAAGGTTACTTGTTGAAAGAGACTAATGAGAATCTAATAGGTATAAAATGTTGTGTTACATGCTTCTGAAGTTAAAGAGAGAAAGATAAAGGTTTTAGATAAAGGCTTTAGAAGCGCACAGGTTAGAAAAATAGCTATGTGCAGACAGCTGACTCTGACTAGTAAAATGTGAGAAGCACAGTGCTATAAGACGATGCCATGCAAGGAGGAAGTGGAGTGATTAATTGAATAGATGGATACTTCATCTCATACCTAATAAGCAAAAATTTAACACCCTTCCAGTGTCCTTAAAGAAGGCAAGAGGCTCTAATTCAGCTGTTCAACAAGGGTAAATACAAAGATGCTAATCTTTTTGGTTTGCAGTGGAATAGGAAGATTCAGATGGATCCCTGGCTCCTTAGCTCTGCTGTTGAAATTTACTGGCACTGGTTTCCTGCAGTTTCTTTACTTGCTCTCTGTCCCCCACTTGGCTGTTCCTGTTGAGCTGGAGGGATATGTACCACAGCTGGGGGCAATGAAAGCCAGAAACACCACGAGAGTAGGCATTTGGAACAGCAGCCCTACGGCACCCAGGAAATATTTTTCCCCACATGTGGTCCTTTCAAATTCCCTGTACCATAGACACTACTTTGATTTAAAAAGCTGTTTGCTTTCCCCTCTTGCTTTCCCTATTTGTTCAGTATATTTCTATTTCTCCATACACATATTTCTTTTGCACTGATGGTAAATTTTAATTGTGGATTTTTTAAAAAAAATTTCCTTCTTTTCCCCTTTTGTCTCTCATTCAGAAAATTATGTTGATAGTTTTTCAATAGATTTCGATGCCACTACTCTCTTGAACTCCAATACATTGTTCTCAGCCTCTTATTAGCACATTATCTCTTTACTCCGCTAGTTAAACATCTGGGTGCACTGAAAAGTTGGCATATATACCGACTTGATTAAAAGAGTTCTCCAATGTCTGCAGTTGGTACATGACATATTAAATAATGGAAAACTGCTTTTCAATTGGGCAGTCACCTTTATTGTACCTTGTTATTAAAGAGTGAATTTGTTATTATTAAGGTTATATATGTGGAAGCACCTAGTGTCATGCCTGGCAAATATTAACAAATGCACTGGTAATAGTCAGATTGAGTATTTGCAGGCTGCATCCTATCGTCCACATAATTCAAACTTAAGGAATAGAAATCAATTCTAAATAAATAGTAATGTCAAAATGATCCTCAAGATTGGATTTTAAAACTAAATATAGAATCAATTAAAAATTAAGACTATTCTCATCTAGTTATGAATGTAGATTCCAATCTAATGTTTCATATCTAGCAATTGACTATTATACAGAGCTGACCCTCTGAGATACCTATTTTCTAAAAAAAAAATAAGTCTTCTGATCAATCTAGAAAAGCCACAGGCAGTCACTTCTATAATGGTATGCAACCCCTAAACTCTAATTCTTAGGCAAATCCAGCATATGGGCAAAGACCCATTTGCCAATTATCACATTAGATAACACCTTGTACAGTATGTCTAGACTGTTACATAGAAGTGTAAATGACAGTCACACTAAATGTGTGTGTGTGTGTGTGTGTGTGTGTGTGTTATTAACAGTTCTTTTATTTTTCTGAATTGGAAACTGTGGCATTGTACTGACACTCAAGCTCAAGGTGTCAGATATAGAAATATCAAACGTTAACTGATTTGAATTTTAGGCCCTGTTCTCTATAAGTGAGTTGTGGAGAGCTGCGAAGGACCGCGCCTACAAGATGGCACTGGTTTCCGCCTTCCACCCCCCCGTGGGTGAGCGCTCTCTGTGCACAACAACTCCTTATATGGCCAGGGCTGCTGTCATGATTCGCTTCTGCATATGCTGGACCCATGGGCGATCCCCACGTGGCACACTGGGATTGGGCTCGGGAGTATATATTAGCCAAGGGCTGGGGGATTGG